GGTTCCGGGAAGGCAAAACAATTGAGTGACGTTAGTATCGTATAAATATTATATCGTATCGTATCGTATAAATATTTGCAGGATTGCCGCCTCACAAATCACAAACTTCAAATAAAGGTTGGATCTGTAGTTATAATGTTGCGAAATATTAACCAACCGCAACTTTGTAACGGCACACGATTAGCGATAAAAAATTACTGAATAACGTAATAGAAGCAATCATATTGAAAGGAAAGTATAAAGGAGAATACGTTTTGATACCCCGCATCCCAATGATTCCGACTGACGTACCATTCGAGTTTACGAGTACACAACTACAGTTTCCAGTACGGCTTGCTTTCGCTATGATTATGAACAAATTCCAGGGGCAGTCATTAAGTGTTCGTGGTATTTATCTAGAAAAGCCATGTTTCTTGCATGGTCAATTGTATGTTGCCTGTTCCCGTGTTGGAAAACTATCTGCTGTGTTTGTTTACGCGCCAGGTAATCAAACAAATAATATCGTGTACCATAAAGTACTACTATAAAAATGAAACTTAATTTAGAATAAGTTAAAATAAAATGAAATATATTAAGTAGGTATCATAATAAGAAATCAGAAATGTGTGTGATTTTTAGAGACTATTCAAAGAATTTTAAGTGTTTTATAATTTTTATTTTTTGACATGCTAATGTAATTGTTGACTTATCAACTTTCTTTTTTCTTTTTTATCTTCCTATCTGATCCGGTGTCCCGAATAGCAGAATAAGTATTAAAAAAAATAAAAAATTAAAGAATCGACTGTTAAGCGGTACGAAGTTCGCCAGTTCAGCTAGTGTTTCTCATATAGATATATAGATAGCCTCAAAATTTCTATGATAACTGCTAAAATCTATGATTTCAGAAGTGTCCGTCAGTTATTGTTCTTGCATATAATTATGTGTAATTTCGGACTTAAAAAGACATTTTTTTACTGTTGGTTCTTAGGCGAACATTGTATGGACGCAGAACAATGTCATTTCAGAACATCTTGTGGTTTGGGTTGTGCGATGATAGATGATTCAGTCACTTAGAACATCCTCTTTTAAATATATTTACCCGCACCGCACCGCACAACTGCCCCATCTAAACACCTTCGATCACTGACTGTCAGTAATGGTTCGAGTGTGCTTAATGGCTTTAGCAATTGGTTTAAAGTTAATATAACCCCGTGTAATAAGAGAATCTGCAGAACAAAATTTAATATAATTTCAAATGTAAGTTAACCTGTATGGACAAAATGATTGACAAACAAGCACACCTTCCACCTGATTGTAAGCGGATGCTGTGACAAATAGTTATCTACATCTATCCTTGAATAAAACTACTTTTACATATAGAAAAAGACCCATACGAACCGATATTTAAACGGTGAATCCCACCATCATCCTTCACAGTTAGCTACCGTGAGCAAATCTTTGTTACAGAGAGCACGAGGGATCTGTGACAGCAAACACTTGGCCGTCAAGCTTCAGCACGTCAAGCAGGTTCTGCACGACAACAAGCTTCGGGTTCCGCGCCTACGTCACAGTGAACGAGTGAAGCTGGCCACAGTCGAGCGTGTGCCTGCTGTACTACCATATGCCAGAGGTGTCACGGACAAGATTGGCTACATCTTGAAGCGAGCTTCTATTAGAACATTCAAGCCGCCGAAGAAGATTAGTCAGTTCTTACCATCCGTCAAGTGCAATATTCCTCTACAAGATGCAGGAGTGTACAAACTTGATTGTGAATGTGGTCTCTAATATATAGGGCGAACAAAGCGAACTATCAAAACCCGCGTAAAAGAACACATTGCTGACGTGAAACAACAACGTTCCGGGAAGTCTGCAGTTTGTGATCATATTCTAAACGGCCCCCACCGTTACATTAAATTTAATAAACCACAAATTCTCACGAAATAAAATCGATTCCTGCCAAGTATGATATATGAGGCTATTTAAATTAAAAGAACATCCTAATTTCAATAGAGAGGGTGGCTGGATACTACCACCTGCTTGGGAACCTGTAATTAATAAAATTAAAACTAAACCCAAACATACCACTGCAAGACTTCAAGACACAGTAAGTTCATTCTGCGTAGATCGGAACAAAATTAATAATTAAAAAAGCTGAACTAACTCTGAAATCGGGACGTCAATCACCTCAGTCCCCCGTGACCATGGATGCTGTAAAGTACCCGAAATGTCGGGAAGCCTCCTCCCAACCTCCCTAAATCGCGCGCACTATACCCGTCGCCGTTAATCCCAGCACTACCACCCCCAGCACCACTACACTAGGCACGACACACCACTCTCGAAAATACGACACGTGTTTCGCCTCTACACGAGGCATCCTCAGGTGTAATAGACTCTGCGGAGACTGGCCGCTAAGTGACTTACAGGCAGGGCAGGACACATCATTTTCTTTCTTTACGCGGAATTAAGCAAATTAGTTTATAACAACCCCATTATAATGGATTTCCGCAAAATAACGCCTGATTCTATCAATTACGACAATTTAATTAAACGCGATAGAATCCGTAAAAGTAGTATTATTCAATATGTAGTGTTCCCGTAAATATAAGAATACATCTATCCTAGATTGAAAATCAAAGTAAATAAGGTCTATGGTTTTCTACACTCACCATACGAAACACAGCAACATTAAACGTCATTAAAGTAAAAATATGCCTTGATATTCTACTTTTAAGCATTGGAATAACATATAAGTTGTCCGCCTTGAGAGTTAAGATGAAACACCCACCAGGGGTAGACTCGCTTTTAAACATTTATAACTGTAAACGAAAGTAGACATAAATATATGCGGGTAAAAACGTGTCTATCAGTCTGTAGATATTGTTTTTGGCTAGATATCGAGCATTTAAGATAATAGGAAACGGAACCTTCAGCAACGGTTAACTAAATGTATAATAAAATTAAAATTCATTTTACGTCTGTGTATCTCTTCAATCACATTGCAAAAAAATACATGAAGTGCCATTTAAAGTCCATATGATCAACAGTTGTTTTTTTTTTATATGATAGGGTGACAAACGGGTACACAGTCCACCTGATGGTACGTGGTTGCTGTGGTCCACAGACATCTACATCTATCCTCGTTTGCAAATCAAAATGAAGATGCGTTGTCAGCCGTGAGGACTAAGATGGAATGCCTCTTTTCCAGTAAAGAGGGTCACCGGTTCTCTACACTCACCATACGAAACACAACAGCGTTAAGCTGCTATAAAGCTGTTATAATGTAGCAAAAACTACATGCAGGTACATATTATGCCATAAGTCACTTTATGGCGCAGATTTATATTTTTTTATGATAACACCACATTGTAAACCTAATTATAAGAGGGCAATAGAATTGCTTATAAAACATGATATATAAAGGTAATTAAGTCTTATAATAAGAACATATATTTTTTATAATTAAAGTAACGGCATTTTTAATACGCTTTTATTAGCTCCGCTATCTTATTCTAACGGAATCTTTTAATGTAATGTTCACCAACTTGTAGACGGACGGCTGTAGAATGATGACAAAACAATAATTTAAACATAACATTAATTTAACTTTATACTAGTATGCTCATCAGCATCACCGGGATAATTCTCTCTAGAATCATCACAACTCATGGTCAATGCCTGTTTTTTAAGTTTTCTTAAATTTTAATATTATTTCAATGAAACCAGAAAATTATTATTTTTAGTAGTGTGTTTGGTCGGTACAAATTTTGGAATCGATTTTAAATTAACTGCCCATGATCTCGAGACTTTAAATGTGGCTTAAATTCGTAATAAAATAACATTTGAGCGTCATTTATCGGGATAAAAACTATCCTATCTCTCAAGTTGGACCAAAATGCATACAGTGTGCATATATATATATATATATATATATATATATTATATATATATACTGGCGTATAATAAATAATAAAAATAATCAATGTATATATATATACATTGATTAGCACAAATCAACCGCTGGTTTTTCTTTCGTACTTGTTTGGCGGTGGATGATTCCATTTGTGTTCTATATGTTCTAAAATATATAAAATGTAGAAGCATACAATATAACCACTTACCATCAGGTGGACTGTGTGCTCGTTTGTCATCCTTATCCTATAAAAAGAAACTTTAACATTGGAGAGACCCCATACCCAAATTTATAGTCTTGAAATTTCGGGATTGCAGTTACTAAAAAAAAGTAAATTCAAATATATATACGTTTATATAGTATTAATGCAATGTAGTGAGTGTTTAATAATCAAAGTAATTTATGAAAACCTAATATTTGCATTCGCTGTGTATGTAGCTTTAGCGGAACTGTATTAATAGCATAAAAGAAATATTTGTAACATACGCAATTGTTTGCACTGCATGTTCATAGTGGTTAAAATTCATTATTTCTAATGCGTCAATAAAACTCAATAAGTACCTATTCAAATAAATATGCCCATTTAAAAAAAATCCCCATGGCATAGGTAATAACGAAAATTCCAAGGGTCATGATGATGTGACATGGGATGTTGTAAAATACGTTATAATAATAAAATAAAATATATATTAACGAAATAGTATAATTTTGCCATAGTAACATTTAACAACATATGTAATTATATATTATATTGTGCTCTACAGTTAACATTCGTTTTGTTTGTACAAGATCTTATCAAAACATCAGTATTAGTCTACTACATCGTAAAGATGCCATAAATCTATTACACAATTTATCTTAATATACTTGTGTACTTGTCTTATTTACGTTATACATTCAATAAATTTAATACACAATTCAGTGTAATTATTCTTACATTAAAATTTTCGGGTTATTTGCAATATTCTATAGGTTTCGCCGCTGCTGCTTTAATAACAAAACATATATTCAGTGTTTAAACTCGATATCATAATTGTTTAAAGCATCGATCGAATTTTACTTTTTAATTTCGCTGTCGCAACATTACTTTTAAATGAATTAACATCCTAATTTAGTTCGATTGGAAGGAAGAGTTGACGTAGCCACCATCGACAACCTTTTTCCTTTGTAAAAATGGAACGTCAAATAACTTTTGGTTTCTTACCAATTCGTCTGCATCTTCAAATGTTTGTGGCATATCTCTTCCAGCTGTTTCTGGTAATGCTAAAGAAAGCACTGCACCTAATGCTGCTATGGCACCTACTATAACAAAAGGAAGCCAAGTTATAAAATTCTCTAAATACACAATATATGGAGAAATAACAGTGGCAACATAACCACAGATATGTATAATCGAAGCACCTGATCCTCTGACTGATGTAGGCAACATCTCCGCTCCCCATTGAATAGCAGTATTACAAGCCATATTAACGAAAAACCTAGCAGCAATAGCACATAGTACGGATGGTAATCCACCACCAACGAAGGCTATAGTAACACTAAAAATGCAGCTTACAATAAAAGAAATAATGCTTAACCACTTTCGACCAATTAAATCTAAAACAAAGGACACTATTACCAAGGACGGAAGCTCCGTTAATGATAGAAAAGAAAATGACAAGAAAAAGTCGAATCCTAAACTACCTATACTTCTAACCAAAGCGTCATAAACAATCATACAGCTCATGTATACCAAGCACATGCAAATAAAAATCTTTCTTAGTGAAGGTCTTTTGAGTAATTCGATGCAGCTTACATTTTTTATCTTTTTTTCTCTGGATAATGATAGTCTAAACTGCTCTATTAGTTTCGAGGGTACCTCTTTTTTATTAACTCGTCCGATGTTTACAATTTTGTATATAGCTTCATCGATGCGACCTTTTGAGAGTAACCACCTCGGACTTTCAGGAACTAATAGCGGCGTTAGTAAAGATAGTGCCATAGGAATACTGGTAGCTAAACTTATTGTTTTCCAATGGCCACAAGCTAAAGAAATCCAAGGTAATATCGTTAAACCCAGAGTAAAGAATATGGCGAAAGGCATATTCGCTATAATGGTTCTGTATTTGGGTGCCACATATTCAAGTACCAAAAGGTAAATCATCATCAAACAATTATCGTAAGACATACCCATCAAAAATCTGCATACACTAAATTCTATGAAGTTTCTTGCAAAAATAGTGACCACCCCCGCTACACAACCGATCATATTAGCGGAAACAGCTGCCGGAATTCTTCCAAAACGATCGGCCACCCAGCCAATCAGAAAACCCCCTACAATCGACCCAAGAAAGAAAATTGATTGCGCAGTAGCTTGGTAACTGTCCTTGTCACATACCCATCCCCACTCACTGGAAACAGTAGGATAAGGTATTTCGGTCTTATTGAATTCCCATCCGTGTTGACATTTTTCAGTTGGCCAAGACTCGTTGGGTGTTATTCCACTTATTAAAACCGCACTCCAATTAGCTATGTAGGCTTTACACTGTGAATAGCCAAAACGTGCACTTTCATCTCTTGGGATTGCTAAATTTCTTCGCCCCAGTTCAGTCAGATTCGCCAACTCTGGAATCCAGCACCAGTGGTTTGGTGACGGTTCCGTCATGAACATTTGTGAAAAATAGGAAAATGTGCTAAATATGTAGAACGGACACGTAGAGAAGAATAAAAACCATTGATATCGACCGAATTTGCCAGCCGAGGAGAGCAATTGGTCATAATCCACTTCATTGTTTGTGATGTCGTTTATGTCTGCACCTCTTTCTTTTGCAGACCTTTTTTCAGTAACTGTTGTGTCTTCCATTTTGTTAATATTTTATGTTTATATACTAAGCACTCGAAGCGCAATTTATATTCCTTATTTTTCATAAATATTGACACTGGCCTTAAGAGCGTGTGTTGTCAAGGCGCTCAATGAACTGTGGAATATATTCTTAATATTTTCTTTATATAATGTGCACGTAATGACAAAAAGATAACACAGTATATTTATTTACGTATTCTCGCTTAAACTTTATTTGTTACATCATAAAGATTACAAGATTTTCGTATGCTATGTACACTGTTAATATTTTCTTGAAATTTTACTATTGCAAGTTTTACAAATAAATACAAGTCCTGCTAAGACTCATCATTATAGTCTTTCATAAGTCTGAAGAATGCCACATAGCACGGTCCTGAGCCACCTGCATACATCGACATCCTACATGTCTTACCAGGTCGTCACTCCATCTAGTGAAGGGTCGCCATATACTTCGCCCACCGGTACGAGGCTGCCACTCGGGAACCTTTCTTCCCCATCGGTTGTCGGTTCTTCGTGCTATATGGCCGGCCCACTGCCACTTCATCTTACGAATCCGTTGGGCTATGTCAGTAACTCTAGTTCTACTGCGGATATCCTGATTTATAAGTTTATCACGCAGAGAAACCCCAAGCATAGCCCTCTCCATAGCTCGCTGAGCGACCTTGAGCTTCCTCATACGGCCAGCAGTGAAGGACGACGTCTCAGATCCGCAAGTCATCACTGGCAACACGCACTGGTTGTGAGAAGATGTGTCGTAGTTTCCCGAATGCTGCCCAGCCGAGTTGAATCCGTCGATTGACCTCTCGGTCGAAGTTGGACTTAGGTAAGTCCAACTTCGACCGAGAGGTCAAACCTGAGACAAATATGTCAAAATGAGTCAAAATGAAGGTAAACATACTCGTCAACAACTTCGAGCTTAGTGCTCCCAACAATTACCGGCATAGGTGTGACATGGACGTTAAACATGATTTTTGTTGTGTCCATGTTCATCTTGAGACCTATACGTTGGGAGACACTATTGAGGTCATTGAGCATAGTGCTTAGGTTCTCCAGCGATTCTGCTATAAGGACTATATCGTCGGCAAATCGAAGGTAAGTGACGTACTCGCCATTGATGTTAATACTGCATCCTTTCTAGTCCAGTAGCTTGAAAACGTCTTCACATGCAGCGGTGAAGAGTTTCGGGGATATAACGTCACCCTGTCTTACACCTCTCTGCAGTTGGATAGGTTTCGTACACTGATTCTGTACTCGGATAGCCATCGTAGCTCTAATGTACAAACACTTCAGCACTTCGATATACCGACAATCTACTTGGCACCTTTGAAGGGACTGCAACTTGAGCGGTTCGCCCAAATTTCGATGCAATCAAAGGCTTTCTCATAGTCCACATACGCAAGGCAAAGTGGCAGATTATACTTCTCTGTCTTCTGTACAACCTGCCGCAGGGTATGTATGTGGTCTATGGTACTAAAGCCTTTTCGGAAACCGGCTTGTTCGGGAGGCTGGAAGTCGTCAAGTCTGCGTGCGAGACGATTCGTAATGAATCACGAAAACAGCACGTCGACACGGCTCAGAAGGTAAATCGGTCTGTAGTTCTTCAAGAGAGCGTTGTCGCCTTTCTTGAAGAACAAGACCACCACACTTATGATCCACGCCACCATGGAAGACGGAATCAAAGAGCTTCTGAAGGACTTCAAGTACCGGTTTTCCACCCGCTTTCAGAAGCTCCGCTGTAATTCCATCCTCGCCCGGGGACTTTCCGTTTTTAAGGTACTAGAGAGCCATTCTAATCTCGCTCAGACTGACGTCTGGGATATCTTCGGAATAGTGTCGGATAAGACTCGCTCTCGGATCGTTACTCACACTTGCGTGTGGCTCCAACGATTACCTGTACAGCTGCCCATAGAACCTCTCAATCTCACTGAAAATCTCAGGTGCCCCGGAAACAATGCTGCCACACTCGGTCTTCAGCGTTGACAGTTGGCTCTTTCTGGCAGACAGATCTCTGACAAAGACTTTGGAGCCTTGGTTCCGCTCGATCGCTTCTTCAATACGACCTGTATTGAAGTTGCGTAAGTCCCGCCGCATGCATTTGGAGATCCGTCTGTTCAGTTGCCTGTATGCTTTCAAATCTGTTGAAGAGTGTAGCTTCATCTCCCGTCTAACAGCCATGAGATTAAGAGTGTGATCGAAGAGTTTTTGTGTTTTTCTGCGGCGGGTCTTGCAGAACTTAGCTCCGACCGCATGGACAGTTTCCACGTGCTTGTCATTCATATCGTCCACTTCATTGCAGTCTTCTAGGCACTGAAAACGGTTTTGTAGCTCGAGCTGAAAGGTTTTGAGACTTTGAAACAGAGCACGAGGGGGACGGAGCGTTGACTTCATTAGACGAGACCTCTCCAACTTAACGTTTAGGTTCAGTGTGCCTCTAATCATTCGGTGATCGCTACCAGATTTCACCCTCGCGATCACGGAGCCATCACTTAACAGGTGTCGTCTGGTGGTCATAATGAAGTCAATCTCATTTTTTATCGAACCGTCGGGGCACGACCAGGTCCACTTCCTGTGGGGCCGCTTCTAGAATAAAAAGTTCATCATAAAGAGTCCCTCATTCTCCATGAAGTTGGCCAGCTGCTGGCCCTTGGGTTCCGTTGTTCCTATTCCGAATTTCCCTACTTTCAGCTCACCGTTCTCTCTTGTGCCTAGTTTTGCATTGAAGTCTCCCATTAACACCGTATTGTGGGTTACTCTAGAGATATCCTCATACATTTCCTCCACTTCCTCATCGGGATGTGCCAAGGTTGGTGCGTAAACCTGTATGAACTTCAGCGAATATAACTTGGAGATTCTAAGTATAATGTACGCAACCCTCGTCGGCACACTCTCAATCTTTACAACGTTGTTAACGAGAGACTTGTGGACGATAAATCCGACACCTCCTTGGATTACCGTGTCCTCCCCCTCTCTTCGGACCTCGGATAATCCTATAATATGCCAGCATAACTTGTCTATCTCTTCTTCCAGCTCCACGATCTTCTAGTCAGTCCTCAGGGTGCGTGCATTGTATGTTGCCAGGTCGAGTCATCTTAGGTGGCAACCGAACCTCCACTGGAGATTCTTAGCACCCCCTGCCCCGCTGTTACCATGGTCGCCACCGTAGCGAGTAATAGCGGGGCCGCCGGGGACTGGGGGCTGTCTCTTTGTTGCTCTCATCGTTGGGGGTTACTTGCCATAGTTGCCACGCTTGGCGAGCGGGTTGGCAACCGCAGTTTTTTTATTGTAATTTGCTGTTATCAGGAAGATGCTGCTGCTCATCTCCTGCCTGTTTCTCTTTGTCGCCTTTTACGACACCCACGTGAAGATATGAGTAGTGGATATTCTTAACCGCCACTACACGGCTGTCTAAGCCTAAGGCCTAGTATCTAAGAACGTTTACAACAAATCGTACTTTGAAATTGTTATTTGAAATTTTAAGAACGGATTTGACATGCTTATCGGTGAAAGTAAACATCGGGAGAATAGCTTTATAACTGAGACATAAACTATATTTTTGAAGCTCATGTAAAATCCAGTAATCTGTTCTAAGACAATATAAAGGATTGTTATTGTCATATTCTTAATTTGAATTTATGTGTATTCTTTTTATTTTGTGCTCCTGATATAATAATAATTTTAAGTAAGACATTTATTATTTTACATTTAAGAGAGTCTACTTAACTTAATTTTAACCACTAGAATTTTACCCACAACCATGCTCGCGGATTCTTCGCAAAATTCGCAGAACGGGGCAGCCCTTCTGCTGGATTCTTTTTGCCTTGTTCTCGTGCCTATCAGTTTTTGTGTTAGTCTGTGTCTCATGAACATTCTTCTGAGAGAGAATTTCACTTAAATAATTTAAATTTGATATAGTTTTATAAATATGCTGTTACCGAAACAAAAATATAAAATTTAAATTCGATTTTCGAATTGAAGAATTTTGGGGAAGTAAAATTGAAAGCTGATAAAAATATTACTACTAGTACTATGATAATAAGGTATGATTGAAGAAAACTAATAAGAAAGCTATTTAATTTTAAAGAAATATCTGTGATTCTGTCTTCCTTTAATTAAGGCTTTAACTAGCCTGAATGACCTTGACGAAACGGCGATCGCAGAGATTTTAGCCGATGTCAACACCGTCTAGCAACTACGTTCTGTATTACTTATAAAAGTGCAAAGATTAATAGACTGTAGAGATGACAATTATATAAGTGACATACTGCCTGTTATGCTTGCGCATCACTGAGAATTATGTCGCGGTTACGCATCTTCAATTACATTGCACGGTGTGGTGCTGTAGCTTTGTCCGGTAGGCATCACGAGCTATCAAGTGTTCAAGTTTCAAGTACGTAAGAATTTTTATTATATATGTTAAATCGTATTTATTTGTGTCGTATTAAAAATATGTCGTCAAAGCGTTCGCTGTAAATTTTCCCGGGTTTGATCCCCGACAGCACGAATGAAATTCGTAATTGCAATTTTTGTCAACACGCATTGGGGTAGCACGGCGGGCATTTCCTTGCCCTAAAACCCTCTCAGAAATAAAAAAGGGTCCTGTGCCCAGTAGAGGGATTTGTATAGCCTATTACTTCACTTTATAGCAATATTTATATTCGTTTCAGATATAAAAGGGTACCTTATGTTGACAAAAATATCATGTGGAGGCGACGAAAACGTAAAACATCTTTGTACCTAGATAAAACGTTCGAAAGATTATCAGTCATGTCATACGCCACATTTACTATAGAGCGTAGAACATTGCAGATAGGGAAAAATAAAAAATAATCCAATATATTATGGGAACTATTTATTAATAACATATACATTTATAGGTATTTATAATAAAAATAATGAACAAGCTGCAAGGTTCAACTAATAATGTTTTTTTGTAAACACAATCGTAAATTTCCTGTTTTAATTTTTACCAATGGTTAATTGATGAAACGTAGTCAAGATTA